GAAATTCAAGGGAGTATTCAACCACTGACCGATTTCCTTGACGTAACTTTGATAGCAATTCTCTGCTTATCTTACCCTCGTAGGGGTGATCAAACACAGTTTTAAATTCTTTAATGAACTGAGCATACGACAGGCGGTGTATCTGACTCCAGCTGGCAGTGGCCCATTCAAGAGCTTTATCAGCTAATCTTGACACAATAAACGAAATCTTAGCCTGATCAGAGCTAGGTGGTGAATTGTCAAAATAAACAGAGCATTGAAGTAAAAAGCCTCGACATTTATCTGGGTCTCCACCGAATTTATCTCAGTATCACTCTATAATGAATCTCACGATTCATTATAGAGTGATACTGTACTGTTATGCTGTATGGTTGTGATTATATTCCTTTCAATATGTTCACAAAATGTTGTTGAACAGCTTCTATGAACAGCGCTGTAATTTGAACTGTAGATTTTAATCACTAAGGTGTCTGCGCAGTCTCACACGTTCCTGCTCTAATAATTACTTCTTTTTCCTTTAGTTGTGTGCCTATAATTGTAACCCGTTAAAAAATGCAAATATAACAGCACATTGACAAACTGTTAAAATAATTATACATCTTAATGGGTATTTAAAGAACTGATGTTTGTGTGCAATGAGAAATTAGTGTGGTAATAGGAAATGTTTAAAGTGTTAATTCTTATTCATGTTTGATACAGTATTTTCTTGATGTCTGTGGCAGCTAGCTAAAAGGGAGGATTTGGGGTTAAAATCTATTGGCCTTTATCAAAGCATGTTGGTACCTGTAAAAAAAAAAAAAAGAAAAGAAACTGATCTGCTGTCTTTGGGTATTGGCTTATATACTGGATTGAAAAGACTATTGATGATCGATTGCTCATGCCTGTGTCAGCCAAGAGGGGGCGCTCTCGCGGTGCCTCTGTTCATTCGCTAAAAAGACAGAAGAGAAAGCAGAACGGAGAGTTTGTCCTTTAATTATCTTCCCTTTTACAGGTAAAAACACACAAAGCATAAACATTTCTTTCTAAGAACGAGTTGAATCCAGTACATAGCCATACTTAATGTGTGTTCTGTGTTCTGAAAAGCGTTTTGTACGTAGTTAAATATGTTTGTTGTGAGCGGTGAAATGGCTAAGCGCATAAACCCCCCATGGTTAGCAAAAGACCACGAGGCATGCTGCGTGCTGCGTCTGATTAAAATAGTGTGTGCGAAAGCCGAATACGGTTGGTTAAAAAAAGTAGTAACTTACATACTTCTGAATGTCAGATTGCAATGGTTGAAACATAGCAATTTACACATTATTGTGGTTGCATTCTGGTTTATAAGAGTTATTACAATTGACATGTTAATCCAGTCTTTGCTGTGACGAGCTTGCCTGTTTTTGTTATATTTTTGTTTTCATTGATTTCATGATGAAAAGAGAAAAAGTATGAATGGAAAATACTGAATTTGGCACATGTAATGTAAGCATAAGCTAGATGTACATCTTGTACAATATGTATTTGAAATTCATTCGCTATAAAGACAGAGAAAAGAAAGCACAACGGAGAGTTTGTCCTTTAATTATCTTCCCTTTTCCAGGGTTACTACATAATCACATCCTAAAAACATTTGAGTTGGTAAAACCTGACATTATTAAAGCAGTCATATAAAATACTAACCTAATCAGATCCAGATTTAATGGCCAAGTATGTTGACACACACAAGGAATTTGGTTCTGGCCACTGGTATCTCTCTAGTATTAAATGCAATGCACAGCCAATGTGCAAATAATTTAGAAACAATGTACAATATACAGTGCTGTGACAAAATATTTGCCCCCTTCCCAATTTCTTCTATATTTGTCACACTTGAATGTTTCAGATCATCAAACTGCTTTTAATGTTAGACAAAAGTAACTCAAATAAATATGAAATGCTGTTTTAAATGATGATTTCATTTACTGAAGGAAAAATGCTGTTCATCACCAACTGGCCTGATGTGAAAAAGTAGTTACCCCCTTAGCTACTAAATCAACCAGTTAACCAAATTCAGTTGACTACTGAGTTCAGTTTCACTAACCACTGTCAGACCTGCTGAATCTACACATCACTTAAATAGAGCCTGTCTGGCAGTGTGAAAAAGGCTCGAAGGTCTCTAAAAGCAGCACATGATGACATTCTAAAGAGATTCAAATACTGATGCGAAACAGTCAAATCTACCATCTGAAAAGGGTTACAAAGCCATTGCTAAGGCTCTAAATTTCCAGCAAACCACAGTGAGAGCCGTTATCCACAAATGGAGAAAACTTGGAACAGTGGTGAAAACCCAGGAGTGGCTGGCCTACCAAAATTTCACCAAGAGCGCATTGACAATTCAGCCAGAAGGACCAGTGATGGCCTAATGAAAGAAACTGCTTCTGTGTCTGGTAGTCTTAGTGTACAAGGTTCTCTAGTGGCTGCTGGAGGGGATAAGTTGAAAAAGGTTGTCCCCAGGGTGCGACAAGTCTGTAATGATTTTCCCTGCTGTCCTGCAGGGTGGGTAGGGGAGCACCAATATTTTTTTCAGCTTCCTTTACTGTTCCTGTCCTGTTTTGTGGCTGCTCTGAACCCAGCTATGATGGATGTGCACAGGACAGATTCAATGGCTGCATTGTAGAACTGGTGTAACAGCTTGTGTGGCAGACCCAACTTCCTCATTTGCCACAGAAAGTACATTCTCTGCTGGACCTTTTTGAGGATGATGTTGGTCTTCCATTTCAGGTCTTGGGAAATTCCCGGTAGTTCCCGGAAACTCAAAGCTCTCCACAGTTGACACAAGGCTGTTGATTATTATGAGGGGGAGCAGTGCTGAGGGGTGTCTCCTAAGTCCACAGTCATCTGTCTCCAGAAAAACTGGCTCGCATCCACTTCACATATCTTAAGTGCAGCCTGAGTGTCAGGGCGAAGGGTCAGGGGGTTGAAAGAGGTGTGAGGGGGCTGATGTTGTTGAGTTGAAGTGATTGAGGGGCGTGAATTTGTCCCTCTCAAACCTGCAACAGAAGTCATTCAGGTCATCAGCCAGGTCTGTGTTTGCCTTCGCAGTGAGGGATGGTCCTCTGTAGTTTGCAGTGTCTGCAAGACCTCACCACGCTGATGCAGCGTTGTTGGCTGAAAATCTGTTTTTCAGCTTCTCAGTGTAGCTTTTATTAGCCACTCTGATCTCCTTTGTCAGTGAAGTTCTGACCTGTTTGTGCAGTGCCCTATCTGCAAGTCTGTAGGCACCTGCCTTACATATTCATACACATACTATTTGTTGTATTTTGTTAAAATAAGTCTTCAGGGCCAGAGTGAGACTTGTTTTAAGACCAGTAGTTACATATAGGCAAACTTCATAGATACAATTTCAAAACACAGTGATGTCCAGCAGGGTCATTACAGGGTCATCAGGCTATAGGCTATTCCTAACAGTAGTGCAGTTATCACCCTGTATTTCAACACTTCCACCCTGATACAAAGCAATAGCAATCAATCAGAGAGCTGGATTCACACAATCAAAACCAACACTGCAGCACTTGCACTGTAAATCATACGTCCATGTACCACAGACACAACTTCTATGCAGAGAAGATGATAAAGCCAAGTTAAAATCAGAAAGTTGAGCTGTACAAAGATGAGAAAAAACACAGCAAACTTAAACCTAATTATCATAGGTAAAAGCATTTTGCCACAGCAGGCATGAAACACGTTGGTCCATTTACGTCTAGCCTGTACTGGACATATAATTAACAAGCAAGTCTTTTCTCTTCTCTGTTCTCTGACAACAGCAGTTAGAGGGTTTGTCATGCTACTCAGTAGTGGGGTCAAGACCACTTTGCCAAAAATGCATCAGCAAAAACTCAACAGTATAAAATTATGTACATCAATGAGTGATTACAAGGTTTTAGGTATTTAGGTATTATATGAATAATAACAAAAGATTCAGGGAATCTGGAAAGAATGTGCGTAAAGGACAAGTAATGCAAAGTAGTCTACTTACACTTATATGGCTATCCAGCATCTACAGGGAATGGATGCATTTTATTTATCTAGTGCAATGAGTCCCACCACCTGATACTAAGGATCAGATTTTTGAGTGATTTACTGTCCATATAGTAAAGTGACATGCAAAGCAGCAAATGCTTCAGAAAAAACAAATATAGTTAGAAAGAAGTCATTAAAAAGACAATATAGGTGAAACATGCCTGAGTGTCTAAACATTTAAAGCCCAAAGGAATAAAGCCGGGTCATTTTTATTTTGGCTGTCCAGAAATAACTTTACTGAAAATCATATACTTTTTTGAGATAAAAAAAAATGAGGACTTATACTTTGCAAAATGTATCTCAGTAAAAGTAGCAGTTTATAGTAGTTCATGTTATTGTCATGTGAAACATATACTTTATATATGTTGATTAACATTTATTAACGTTATAAAGTGTTTAAGTAAGATGTTATGAATGTGTTATCTAGACACCCTTCAAGTAAAGTGTTACCAATGGAATATTTTTTTTTTAATTGTGTGAAAATGATGTACACATTTGAATTAAAGAATTTCAGTCCATTACTTCTTTCAGACTTTCATATTATGGTGCCAATTTTAAATGTCTTCTATTTATTGTATATAAATATGATAATTGGTCACAGGAATCTACATTGTATAATTAGTCTCAGATGACTAAATTTCATGCACTGTAATTAGTTTGGCTCCTATCAAGATGCTTTACTAAATTAGTGTTACTTCCATTATAATAATACCTCTGGAGATCTTTCTGGGCTATATATTTTGAAAGAAGGATGAGTTCTTTGAGGCTCTTAGTGTTGACCTCTCTCATTATATTAACTACAAAAAACATTCCCTGTTTACTCTACAACATTTAAACAAAGGATATATGGAAATGTCTCCAATACCTGATCTTTAACTGAAGGCAGTTTATGGTTAACATTACATTCACAGCTGGAATAGAGTGCCTCCCAGTGAGAACAGAGCACAAGCAAGCGAAAGAGGAAGACGAGGAGTATGCAGAGCTCCACAGCTTTAATGCGGAATGACTCTCTGATTCATCCTCCAGGATTTTTTATAATTGGGTTGATCGGCTTCCCTTACACAAATATATATGTTATTTTCTTAGCTCTTATTTATGTCATAACTGCAATTTCTAACTGTTTTGTGATCTGTATCATTTGTATGGACCATCATTTGCATGTTCCCAAGTTCATTGCAGTGGGGAACCTGGCAGTGGTTGATCTGGTCCTCAGCACATCTCTCATCCCCAGTATGATTAAGATTTATCTTCTCAAAGACAATTTCATTGAATATAAATTGTGCTTAGTGCAAATGTACATGTGCTATGCCTTTTTAACACTTGAATCATTTTCTATCGCTATTCTTGCTTTTGACCGTTTAATTGCAATTTGTTTACCTTTGAGACAGAACTCCATTAACACCACCACCACCATGACTACTATAGTAGCTGCAATGTGGACATTAAGCCATGGAGTCACTATTGTCTCTACTTCAAGTATGACGTACCTGTCTTTTTGTAATTCAGTTCAGGTGAACAGCTATTTCTGTGACTACGCACCAGTTTTCAGACTAGCTTGTAATGATAATTCTTTGCAGTGGACCTTCGCCACAGTCTTAAGCTCAGTATGTATTTTTGTACCACTGAGTTTCATAGTTCTGTCTTATACATGCATTTTATTTTCTGTGTTCCAAATGAAAAGTGTGGAGAGCAGGTTTAAGGCTCTGGCCACATGCACAGAGCATCTTATACTTGTGGCCATTTTCTATATTCCCATTCTGGTCATTTTTATGATTGGACTTTTCCGAGTTGGGATTAACCCAGATGTGAGAATAGTGGGTTTGTCACTATCTTCCTGCATCCCACCCTGTACAAACCCCATCATCTACTCACTAAAGACCAAAGAGCTCAAGAGGAGAGTTAATTTTCTCTTTCAAAGAACATTTAATATTCAGAGACATTCTGTTCATCCACTTCACAAAAAATAAACTGATACTGGCAAATTAAAAAGTGTTTTAAATGTCCAGAAGTGTAACGTTTTATGATTTTGAATAGAAAAAAAGCAGAATATTTGTTATGACTGTCCATGAGCATTTTTATAGCTGTAGATTTAAAAAGCATTATTTTTATTATCCATTTTTTCATCACCTTGACAATGTAAGACATCTACATGCAACTATAAAGTTATTAGTTGTTTGATCATCCAAATGCAAGAGCCCCCACTTCATTTCCTCAGTCCCATAACTATTTAACTTAGAAGGGTGCTCTTAGAATATTTATGTAATATACCTGTAATGAAATAATGTGTTTGTGCCTTGGGACTATTGTAAAATCAACTGACTGACAGTGCTAATTTTAGCATTTGATAGAACACCAGATTCTTTTTGCTTTGCTGTGTTTGTGCTCTGCCTAAAAACTTCATTAACATCAATCAAAAGATGTTTACTAAGCCTCAGGGGGGCCAAGCCATCATTTGTATTTCACGTATTAAAGGGACACTTTTCAAAAAAATCAGGCAAGCTAATGCAGAGCAGAACTCTCTCTCACTGTACTTCTACCACTATCAGATACTTTGCCATCTTTTTTATGCAACTTTGGAATTGAATATAAATGGTATTTCGTTGATTAATCAAATTAACCAAATACCACTTTCAAAGCAAGCAGTGTTGGCATTTAGCAGTCAACAAAGCATGAACACTCTTAAGTAAAGACAGCTATCCTGCTAAAAAAAAATCCAATGGCTATTAAAGGTTGAACTGAGTCTGTTCTTTCCAAGGTGAAGAATTTTCATTTGACTGACCTAATAAAATATATCTTTATTTAAAGTTGCCAGTTTTAAGACAAATTGTACTTGGTGTTATCAGTAGGTTCTGGTTCTGTCAGTCATGGTCCCTGTCATGATTCTGTTATTACAAACTACTTGCATACTGGTACAATTACCAAAAACCTAAATGCTTATTTGAATTCCCACTTTATTTTTTTAATCAATGCCCTATATAGCTGTTATCTCTGATTCGATAGAAAAAATGATCAACGTCCTTTAAGAGTGAGGGCTGATTGCACAGTGGTAAATCTAAACGGTTCCAAATGTTATGACATCACCTGGAATTCAAGGCTGCTGCCAATGTAATGCAAAAGCGAAAATGCGAATATCAGCAAGCACTGAGCGAGTCTTTGACTGTCACTCTATGATATAAAACTGGAAATTGCTGTGAGGAGAGATGAAGTAAAAGGAGCGATCTGGACCCTGAGAGAAAATAACTTGGTGATATCCATAGCACAAAGTTGGACTGACAATTTGGAATTTGTTTTTGTTTATGTACCGTACATTATGAGAGATGAGAATGAGTGCTCATAGCAAATAGTCCTGCACAGTGAACATCATTCATTAAGCAGTTTTAATGATCTCTACAGCTCTGGGTTGGTAATGTAGAGCAGCGTTTCAAGTACAGTGAGGGAGTTTTCCTTGTGTATAGCATACAAAGCTGTGACAGGCTGTGTCATGTGGGGCAACAGGGCTAGAGTAAGCTGAAGACATCCTTCTGGAAACCATACAACCTGTGTCTCCTAGAGAAGATGCAAAAGAGCTTCATTAAAAACAAAATACTAAGTGCAGAAGAGAGAGTGATGGTTGCTTTAGTCCCACACGGGTAGTGTGGCGCTTACAAAGTATGAAATATCTATTCTGTATCACTGCACTTTGGTGTTGTTTGTTCATTTAACGCGAGTTGCGTCTGATAAACAGAATACACTGTCAGTGTGTTTGCTGATGCCAGTGGAAGCAAGTTTGGTAGATTTGTTTTAGCACCTTCCAAAGAATCCTACTGAAGCAGAGTTTCAAATGCAAGTTAATGGCAGATTCAAATACTTCTATTTAAGTGGAGTAAAGATCAACGCTTGGACAACAGGCTTTTTCAATCTCGGGGGTGAGTTAAGATGGCGGAGTGAGCAGTTGCACATAAAATAAGAATTAACTTATTATTTTATCTGATTTAAGCACATTAACAGTGTGGGCAGGTTTTCAAGCAACTTTTAAGTTTTATTAAGTTGGTGTTACATAAAAAAATGCAGTATAGAAGACTACAGTTTAGCCGCCATTCCGTAAGTTTGTGAGAATGAGGATATTGCTGAGTTTGCTGTAATTTCCACACTTACTCACAAAGCTGATGAAGCAATCACCTCACAAAAACAAAGAGGTAACAAGAAAGCCAAAAAAGAACTGACAGAGTCGACAGTTATGAAGTCCAAGCTGATCGAACCAAAACCTTTGAATGCCAACTAAAAGAAAGTGCGCTTGCCATTGTGAACATTCAAGAGACCAACAAATTCAGTGCTGACAGTATGAAATAAAATAAATAAGTCATCCAGTCTCTAACATGTCAAGTAGAAAGTGCTGCAGAGTGAAAGTGCTGTTTTAAAGGAGGCCTGTTTGGAACATGCTTGCTACAAATGAAGATGGGGGTTATGGCTGCACGGCTTCCCTCAAGTTAAAGAAGAAAACACAAGGGATTTTATCCTTCAGCTACTCACAGAGAAACTAAAAGATATGGTGGACACTGTCCATCTTCTGGGCCAAAGAAGAAGACAACCAAAGGAAAATTTGTAAATGCTCAGTCTGCCTTTAACTAACACTCAATTAAATAGAAAAAACTTGAAATTACATATGAAAGATTCTATAAAATCTATCCCTAAACCTAAACCTAACCTTGACCTCAAGGCAAAATCTATACCTATCCCTAAACCTCACGCTAACCTTAATGCTGTTGATAATAAACTGAGTATTATCAGAAAGTTTATTAATAATTTAAGTGTCTGTAGATTATCTATAGGAGACCATCCAAATAAATTGTGACCAAAATCTCTAATTAGGAATGCAAATTTCTAAGTTATAGATTAATTGTTGGTAATATTAATATGCAGGTAATTAACTTTACAGCAAATGATTGGCTTGCTGGAGGTCACATGTTTAAGATCATCTTGCAAGTGATATTGCAAAAAAATATATACAATTCAGTGAATAATGATGGCAGTTTTTGCTCAGGAGCATGACACGTGCATAACCAGAGACCCTCCCCCAGATCTGATATGATTGGCTTACAACGTATGAAGTCTGATACGATATGGCTCCGGTACACGGTACACAGCCGTTCCACTGAGGGCAGCAGAAGCCTAAACAGTTGAAACTTGCAGAGAGTGGCGTTGTATCGGTTGCACTGTATAACTTGTGTGTATTGCACAGAAAGTAATACATTACTGCCCCCTGCTGTATTTATGTGGTATTATGGGACATTAAACATCAAAGTTCAAAGGAAAAGCACAGAAAAGGTAAAAAAGAGACGTAAAATCAATGGGAGCCTATCCCAGCCGTCATTGGGCAGAAGGCAGGATACACCCTGGACAGGTCACCAGGCCATCGCAGGGCTTAGAAACAACACTTCTTTACTTATTCTAGTCTTATTTACTCTTATTTATTTATTTATTTATTTATTTTAAATATTAGCCCCCTTTCACTCCTACCTTGTCAGTCCACCTTGTAGATGTAAAGTCAGAGACGATAGCTCATCTGCTGCTGCACAGTTTGTGTTGGTCAGCCTCTAGTCCTTCATCAGTGGTCACAGGATGCTGCCCACAGGACGCTGTTGGCTGGATATTTTTGGTTGGTGGACTATTCTCAGTCCAGCAGTGACCCTGAGGTGTTTAAAATGGTCTCCCATCCAAATGATACCTGCTTTGTTGTGGTGAAGTGGGGGTCCTGATCTGGGGCTTATAAAGTAAACAGAGAAACAGATGGACTACAGTCTGTAATTGTAGAATTACAGTGTGCACTTATATGGTCAGTGGAGCTGATGAAATGGACAGTGATTGTAGATACAAGGAGGTGGACTAAAGTGTTCGGTTGGTGTACACCTAATTGGAAGGGGCAAGGTTCCTGATGAGGTGTTTTGAGCTAGAATACCTAGCCTCATTAAAGCAACATGTATGCATAAATGAACTGTTGAGGTGTAAACACACACACACACACACACACACACACACACACACACACACACACACATCATCTAAACCGCTTATCCTTCTGGGTCGTGGTGGGGTGCTGGAGCCTATCCCAGCTGTCATTGGGCGGAAGGCAGGATACACCCTGGACAGGTCGCCAGTCCATCGCAGGGGAGGTGTATCTTAATCTCGATAGTTTCTCAATTGCACCAGGCACATCTGTAAAAAGTCTTGGTGTCACGATTGATCCCAGTCTGGCCTTCGATGAGCATATTACCAATATTACCAGAATAGCTTTCCTCCACCTGCGTAACATCGCTAAATCAAGAAATGCACTGTTGCTACAGGATGCAGAAACGTTAGTTCACGCCTTCATCACGTCCAGGTTAGATTACTGTAACGCTCTGCTTTCTGGTTGTTCCAGCCAAAACCTTAACAAGCTTCAGTTAGTCCAGAACGCTGCAGCCAGAGTTCTCAGCAAAACCAGGAAATTCGACCACATTAGCCCAATTTTGTGTACCTTACATTGGTTGCCAGTTAAATTCCGCATTGAGTACAAAATTCTTCTACTGACGTATAAAGCTTTGAATGGCCTTGATCCTCAGTACCTCAGTGACCTTATTTCCTATTATCAACCGACACGCCCACTTAGATCACAAGGTGCTGCTCATTATTAGTACCCAGAATAAATACTGTTACGTCAGGGGGAAGAGCCTTTTCATACAAAGCCCCCCAGCTTTGGAATAGCCTACCAGTCAGTGTTCGGGACTCAGACACAGCCTCCATCTTTAAGTCTAGACTAAAAACTTACCTGTTTAGTCGAGCCTTTGGTTAATTTGTTTTTCTAACTATGTCCCTCTCAACATGTTTAACATACATGGAATAGTTTATGCCAGGGCCAGATTGAAAATCTGGACATGTGAACTTATAGGTATTACATAAGCAGCAACATAAATACTTAAAATGGGCAGATAAATTATGGTCACTAATATAA